GGCATAGGATCAAGTTGACAGCTTTTCTTCGATGATCTACCGACCAGCTTCCTCATATTAAATCAAGGTTCCACTGTATAAATTTTTCCCACTCTTTTTCCTTCTAACTGAAGTATTGTTCCGAATATTACACTCCCCAGGGGCAGGGAACCCAATTTATTCAATTCCCAGAGATATTCCCCTGGATTGCCCAGGGTACTATCCCTGGGGTAAGCTAATGACGTGCACATAAAGTGCTATTTTTTTAATTGATTTATTGTTACAAAGATATTTTTTTTGAAAAAAACATGATCAGTGGTAATTGCTCCTCTGAACGAATACCGTAAATCCTCTGATTAAGAGGGTCTCAATGGGGTTAACCAATAGGCGTAAAACGACCAAACATTTAGTCGATAACCTTAAGAAATTGAACAATTTTAACCGTTAGCCGTGAATAGGGTAAAAAGAGTCAACCGGAAAAAAATGTTCCCTAGGTTTGATAATTTCAGGGAAGGGGAGGTGCCATACTCACTTATGACAGGCTGCGCGTTTCTTATTTCGCGGCTCTTTAACTGTGTACCTCGAACGTTAGGCAAAGCCCTTGTCAGGACTCCGGGCGCGCGGTCTCCCGCCCAAATTTCCCTCCCGTTCCCTATCGAACGCCTGCAGTGCTACGCAGGCTATAGCTAGCCTCCCACGCAGACATTCTTTCATGACGAAGCCCTAAATACCCTGGGCACCAGAGGTTTTTCTCGCGTGCGGTGGGAATTTTCGGTGTTGGCCGAAGGCCGACACATCTTCGGCCGTAGGCCGAAGCCACGAGCGGCGAAGCTTTTCGCGAGGGTCACTATAAAGACTTGACAGAAACCGGAAACCGCGCTAGAAAAGTCTCTGGCACCCAGGGTAAGCCCTAAGAGACCCACTATTTGACTTTTGAGGGGAGGAGGGTATGGGTGATTTCAGAAAAAATATATCCCACAGACTGATTTCGAAGGAAAATAATTCTAGGAAGGAAATACCTGGGGGAAAAAATTCCTACACTGAAAAAAAAATCTTTCGTGGCGTATAATTCTGGAAACAAATCTTACACCTGTAAATGTCAAAAAAAAAATTATTACCCTAACCAAATCATACATACCAACAGCGTCGGTAGAAAGATGACTCCGTTCCCAGAAACGGTGAGTGATTAAAAAAAAACGTTTTTCGACGGCGGACGGTTAAATTTGAGGCCATTTGACGGCTGCACTGACGATTAACCCCATTGAGACCCTCCTACAGTGTATATTCTATACCGGTCTACAAAGAACATCTAGCTGCTCAGGGGCCTGACCCAACGTCAATTTTCGGAAAATATCTGTTCGGAAGACGATTTGAGATCTAGAATTTTCGGAATATTTGTTGTAAAAATTTTTGTTTGCCTAGGATTTCGAACATTTAAAAATTGCATAATTGCCCATTTTTAACGGATTTTTACCCTAAAAAGGTCACGTAGAATTTTCCGGAGTGTTTTTTTCTCGCTGAAATTTCCGAAAAGGTAAGTTTTGATCCCTATAATTTTCGGATCACTAGACTTTCAGCTAGGAAATCCGAACAGATGAAAAATGTTCAGGGGATAAAGGTATGCCCACATCTTCTTCGTAAATACTACTTTATTGACTTCAAGTTATCAGGCTTCGACATTAAGATTTCAGTAACAAATTAAAATAGTCAATACAATGACAAATGAGACAAAGTAAAATAAAAGTAAGAAAGAAAGAAAGTAACAACAACTACATATTGAATATTATCATAAAAGAAAAATTACTTGGCTATGTAAGACTTCTACGCTACTCGTATGGTAAGAAAGTTTAATTGGAGTTCGGATTTACAGCAATTTAGAATACATTCAATATAAGAGGCACTCAGAGTTATGATATTTCAACCGCACATAGACATGATATATTAATATTAAATACTGCTTAAATACTAAAATACGTTTAGCAATGCTATGTTTAAGTGGTTTTGAACTATATTATCGTTGTGTACGGTCTCAGCAAAGAACATCTGGCTGCTTTCCAACTTTCTTCAGTGCTAATTTTCCTAACGCGTTTTACAAAAGTTAGGGAATCGTCCAATGTTAACCCAAACACATCGCTGATTATAGTAACTAGTGGTACGGCAGCACCTTCAGCAAACCGCCGGCATTAGGCTCTCGCGCGAGAACAACGCCTTGCATTTTTCAGGGTTCAAGATCATCTTGTTTTCACGAAACCACTTCCATACCTCCTCGAGTTCCTTGTTGAGATTTGCATGAACTGCATGAGCTGTTCTTCTACCTGATTCGTGAGTTCTTTTCGGCTAGCGAGGGTTCCTTTATATTTTCTTTGCGAGACATCAACTTGACACTTGGCCCCTTGTCCCCCAGGGCCGAGTTGTTCAAAGCTGGGTTAAGAAAACCCAGGGTTAGTTCGAAATTTGAATTCAGATATGAAAGCTTAAAAAGCAAATTCAGTTCAATTCTTTTTGTCAACAATTTGTTGATGATTGGCTACTCTAAAAAAGATAGATAAAATTGTCCGAGAAAATGCTTTTGATGAAAAGAAAGAGAGACCCGGGTTAAAATTTAACCCTGGGTTATCGCTAATCGGCCTTCGAACGAGCCCGGCCAGGAGACACGAGATATGGCATGATTCTGTCTTTTGTGGGTGTTGTGAGTTCTAGCTTAGGGCTAAAATAAGAGTGCGTGGGTTTTTTTCAACAGAGCTTCCTCTAGTGGTTACGCCATACTGAAGAGCTGCAATAATAGCGAAACAGCTCTCTATGGCTACAATCCCGCTCTGTTTTGAGTTCTTTCGGTGTCTTGTTGATGTCTTGCAAAGTTAAATTTCACGTAGGACCATCAGCATAGCAGTATTATGGTACGTTTAACTTGAACACATGACGGTTTCCTTGACAACAATAAATTTGAACCAAAGAAAAACATTCTTTATATTTGATTATCCTTTAATGCATTTTCAACAAATCGTTATACAATTCGGTTAATATATATGTTATAATTACCGGACCTGAAGAACCTGTTGAGAAAACAATGGTACTTGAGCTAAGGGCACGGGAATAATATTTCCAAAAATACACCAGCTTACAACTAGAAACTACTGGAAAAAAATGAAAAGGTATACAACATAAAAAAAACAATTTTAATACCAAGAAATTGAACCACCATATTAAACTACGATCGGCAATAAAATGAGACTACAATACATTTGAAAAAAGTTAACAAAATACATTTACAAGTTGAATGTCATTTCAGCTATTATAATTACAGCCACGATTTTATAATTTATTGTTACATTCACAGAAAAGAAAAACTTCATTTGAGAGCAACCTAATGCCTCCCCCACCCTGGCAACTAGAAAAGGTCAACAATTACAAATACCTCACGAGATGGGGTTGTTCGAAAAATTTCTTATTCTACATAACCAATTTGAACTTTTCAACAGTAATTATACCACTGGTAAGATCATATTATATCTTGTCAAAAACTTGCATTCGGTGGTTGTCCATATCACACACAACTATCTTTCCATCACTAAGATTTGCTGTTGACACTGGACACTTAAACTCTCCTCTCTCACTACCTTCACTTCCAAACTTTGTGACAAACTTTCCACTCAGTTCAAATACCTGAACTCTGTGATTTCCTGCTTCACAGACCATTAACAATCCTTCTTTGGTCACCGACAAGCAAAAGGGCTCATTGAACTCTCCATCCTTGATTCCCTGTTTTCCAAATTTAAAAATAGACCTTCCCTGAAGATTAAACATTTTAATGGAATGGTCACCAACATCTGAGACTATAAAATATTGACTGTGTTGGATACAGTGAAAGGGATCGACCAAAGAACCTGCTCCACCAAATTTACGTAAATACTTCCCACTAGAAGAGAATATCTTGATTAATTTGTTACCCCGATCAGAAACAATAATATCAGCGTTGTCGTTTACTGATAAACCTTCAGGGAATTTAAACCGATTATCACGACTTCCATATTTACCAAACTTACTAAGAAAGTTACCATTCCTATCAAAGACTTGTACCCTGGAGTTATTATTGTCTACCACTACAATATTGCCATGACTATCAAAAGCGATCCCTGTAGGACAATAGAACTCACCATTATTCTGACCCCCCCTGCCAAAAGATCTTAAGTGGGTACCGTCACTACTAAACACTGAAACCCTGTTGTTACCCCACTCAGTCACAGCAATTTTATCACGATCATTCACTGCCACCCCCCAGGGAAGGTGAAGCATTCCAAGAGACTCACCTTTTTGTCCAAATGACAGCACAGATCTGAAGCGCTTGGTTTGTACCTGAGTCTCAAGAGGACTGTCACGAACATTTGCCCCTTTATTCCCAGCTATTACTTTACTACTTTCTTTACCTTTAGCTCCTGATTGTTGCGCTTTAGTTTCGCTAAAAACAAATTCTACTTTACCTATCCCCTCGCTCATGTTCAACAGGTTAATCAGTTTTTCACTTTTAGTGAAACTAAACCGAGGAATACATTCAGTGCCGTCACGGTTTTCTTGGGTGCTCTGTTCCTGTAGGATTGTATTTCAACAGAGTGTCAGTTTGTTCAATTGCTGATTCAATTAATTTCACTTGTTTGTCCACTTCCTCTTTTTTCTGTGAGAGACATTCCAGTGATTTTTTCGCTTGATTATCAATCACAGCAAAAACATCCTGTTTCCTCGCTTCGATGATTGCAATAATTTGGTCTACAAAAGACCGCACTTGGCTTTTTACCTCGGCTACTTTCGATTGAAATGCGATGCTTTTTTGGTTGAATTGTTCGACTTCCTTTTGTTTTTCCAGTACTTTGTCTTTCAAAGATCGAATCATGTAGTTCAACTGTGTTTTTCGCTCATCAGTAGCTTCTTGCAAGGGCATCTTACCATGACCTTCATGAAGTGTTACAGCACAAGTGTTACAAATGACGACTTTACAGTTCTTGCAAAAGAGCTCCAACTCTTTGTTTTCATGGTGTTTCTTCTGACAAAATGCTGGTCGCTCCAAAACAGCCTTGATGTCTTGATCTTGAAAATCTTTTAGTGCTAACGTTCTGTGTTCGTTGTTAGCACGCATTATGTCATGTCCTAAAATGCATTTCTCGCACCAGAAGGAACAACACTGGAAGCAATATAAGGTCTCGGCACTCCTTTTATCGCAGTTTCCACACTTCACGTTAGCTGTACTACACTCTTTTATTGCCAAGACATGTAGCAGGCTGTTTATTCGAAAATTGGTTGGAAGTTCGCTGGGATTTCCACTTCCAGAAATCTGAAACTGTCTCCTACACTCGGGGCATGTAATTTTACCACGGACGCCGCTCGTTCGTTGAATATCGTTGAGGCAATGAAGACAGAAACTGTGCAAACAAGGCAACTGCTTTGGGTCGGTGAATGTACACATACACACAGAACAGGATACTTCATCATGAAGATTGTCGAGCAAGGTCTTTATATCCATGGAAAAGGTCGGAAAGAAGGTTACTTTTAAAAATTTTGACCTAGTTGTGGACGATCAAGGGAATGGCGTTGCGAATGAACAATGAAGTCTTGTCTTGTGACCCAGACTTGACTCTGTATTATTAGCCAATCAAAGAGAGTTTCTTGACATGTGCATGTTTTGATGGTTTTACGGAAGAATAAAAAACATCCTGTATTTCCGAGAATTGTATGTGGTCAATAAAATCGGGGCGAGAGTAAAAAAAGAGGCCGAAATGAAGGAGCTTTCTCTCCCTAATTCGTTCGGAAAAGTTTGCTTGGTAGGCTGGAACATGGACTACTGAAATTTTTAGAATATTTGTGTACACTCAACATGTTACACATGCGTACAATCCATGGACAGATTAAACTGGGAAAGCAAATCCCCGTTCTCTCAAAATCAGGAACCGCGCAAAAAAGCCACGCGAAAGCCAAAACGCGCCATGATTTGGGCATGCATTATTGTACAGCCTGTGAGAGAGGACGGATTAATTACTTCAGCGGAGCGCGAAGAAAAGGAGTCGCGACGCTCAGGGCTGAGTTGCTCAAAGCATGGTTAGTTTTAACCATTGGTTAAGCAGTATCAAAACCAATACGTTGTCAAGGTATTAAACGCTAGTTAACGCTAACCATGCTTCGAGCAACTGGCCCAGGAATGTATCAAAGTTGACTTTTTTTGACAAGACTGGGCACGCATAGTCTGTAGGTTTTCGGTTTTATTCGGCTATTTGACGAAGTGAGAGCCGAATTAGTTCGAGATATCTCGAGATCACTTCGATTTCTCTGATTTATTCTTTAACTTTTTCGAGGAAGAAAGAATTATTATTTTGGCTTTCCCGGGGTTTGAACCGACTCCGGCCCGTGTGACCCGTCAGATCAGAGGAGACTCTAAGTTGAGGGATTAGCCAATTGCGCTACTGCGACCCAAGGTAGTTCGGGGCATGAAAAATAGTTATGAAATGATGCACTAGTTTCAGGACAAGATTGGGCGTGTAAGTTCGTGACTTTTCGGCTTATTTCGGCTATTTCACGAAATGAGACTTGACTACTTCGTGATGTCTTGAGATCACTTCGAGTTTAGCCTTTAATTTACTCGAGGAATAAATAGAGGATATTCAGTACGTGGCCGTGCAGAGACGCGAAATTTCTTTTCGAGTATTCAAAAACATTTCACGAGTGAGCCCTCCTTTCGAACTGTTTTATGATGAAATGCTGTACAAAGACATTTCGTCTTTGTTGAGTGTTACGTAGTAAAATTGCTTTCATGCGTTGGGTGACTTTCTCGAACGTTCTCTGCGTTTTTGGATTATTTATGAATAACTAATTAGGGCATGTTTACATTTCAGTATGAGTCAGCAGATTTGCATCAGTTACTGAAATCATAAAATATGTCGAAAAGCTACTACTATTCACCTGTTTAGTATTTTCTAGAACCTTATGTCAAACGGTATACAAGTTCCAAGCGAGTTCTTTTGACGAACTAAGTATTTTCCCACGAGCTGGACTGCTGTGTTTAGTCCAGTGTGACGAAGGTCGATTTTCAAGTTTTGTGTTTACAAGTTGGCGGAAGCCGTAAGATATCTGAAGTTCAAGTGAGAGTTTGTTATTATTGGCAGAGGCCGTTTAGTTTTACGTAAGTCCAAGTCAAGTTTGTGTTGGCGGATTCTGTGTTTTAAAGCTCTGTAAAGGCTATGTTCCTTTGGTATTAAACTTCCTTGTGTTAATCCGACATCCCTGCGTGCTGACAGTCAGTGAATAATTATCCTCAAAACATTCGAACCCGTAACATTGAGTTTTAGCCAATTCCATGCTCAACGTAATTGACTCCTTACCCATGCCTTACATATCTTTAATCAGTACATGAGCCTGCTATGCTATTTTTGAAGCCTGATGTGACTAAGAAAAATAGAGAATTCTTTTTTCACTGTTTGTTTTGTTAGACTTGTTATTCACCGCCAGTAACCTCATATTTGACTTAGGACCCAAGTCAAATTTAGAAGGATTTGTATGGAGTCATCAGAGCATAACTGGGCTAATATCTCAGAGACAATTTGTCCCGAAATGCTAGTTTTAGGCAAGTAGGCCTCTTGGATGTTGCTCTTTTCAGAATATCCTGACAAATCCGGGACTCATGATTTCACAAATTAACACCTTACTCTTACCATATTTCATTTCTTACTATTCCTCCGCATTAATCAGTTCCACAACCACGACGCCGAAGTGTACGCTCCGTAGCGTCTTGTTTTACGTCTATTTTGTCCCAGATTGTGATCCTTAATTTGTTTGTTTCCAGTAAATAAATTAATCAACCTTCGGCCAAGTCATCCCCGATTTATACTATGCAACAAAACCCTCCAGAAAAAAATGGCAGTTGCAGAAAACTTTTGTCGAAGTGAAGGGAATGTTTCCGTTCTCATACCTATAAGTTCGCTGAGACAAAAATGCAGTTAACGTTACTAGAGGATTAAATTAGCTGCAAAAACCGTGGACGAAGATCCTGCTAGTTGTAAACGTTGGATCTCTAGGATCTCCATTTATATAATATTGTGATTGCTACATATAAGTTCAGTAACATCTGTAAACCTGAAGAAGGCTGGTATGGCCAGCCGAAATATTGTTATAAAAAACAATATACGTTGTTTTAAATCAGCTTTGCAGTAGTCTTTGGACTTCTTGTTCTTGGTTAGTTAACGTTACGATAAAACTGAACTGGAGCAAACAGTGATTTCCTTCTGAATTGTCAGTTGTTATTTTTTTACGGACACTTCGGTAAAGTGCTCTCTTTCAAATGATTTTTTTTTTACAAATTTAAATTAGTATTATTACAGTACGAGTTAAGAATATTGAGATGTTTTATTCTCATTTGTTTGTTTGTTTGTTTTTTTTTTGTCAAGTCTTAAAACTGGCGGACCTCGTTATATGTCGTGGATCTGGGGACAAGGTTTTTAATTTTTTTTTCTTTGTTTAAGTAGACAGTTTGTATAGAAAATGTCCGTACTCGCTTGTTCACAGCCCCTCTATTTTCTCTTCAAAGTCCCTCGAGCGCGCGTGATAAAAGATAAACCGCGGGGGATTTATTGACCGCCAGCGCAAAGGGGTAGGGGTGATTTGTTTTTCTTTCTCGCGCTCGCGTGCTCGCCTCACTCTCGCGCACGCCAATGTTCTCCAAAAGAACGAAAAGAAAAATAAGACAACGTCTGTGTACAGGCTACGCCCGTACCAAAAGAGATAAGATTCGCAAGGTATGATAAAACTAAGTCAGCTTCCTTTTTTCAAACTTTCACAATGTTCGGTCAAAGGAGCAATTGTTAGACAGTGATCATATTTTCGTAGCGACGAGGTAAATCTATAATTACGTAACATTCATTTTAATAGTTAAACTATTTCATCAGCCTCAGTCGGTAAACTCGACCAAGCTCGCTCCTTTTGACTGGCGGCGGTAGAGGACTCGACCAAACTAAGAGCACGATTGAAGACTGTTCTAGTCTGTAATGGAAACCCGTCCAAATGATCGAATGCTGTAAATTTATACAAGAAATTTATTAACTGGTACGAGACGACCCTTCTTAAGTGGCTGCCCACCTAAGAGCGGTCCGGCGAGTTTGGGATCGCCAGTAAAGCTTCCCTTTATTTTTTGTGGGTGAAAAGGACTTAATGAGGAATGATTAAAATCGAACTAATTTTGTTCAAAATCTTTTTCTATGCTTCGCTACAGCACAAAACTTCTTTCCTGTCTGAGAGCGCTTTTTCAACTTTAATCAATGGCCAAAATTCAGTAATTTTAAAGCCGCGCTTCTACGTAACGGATAAATATCGCGAAATTCTACATAACACAATGGATTTAGCTGCATTTGACTTGTCCTATGACGGAATCTTGGATAATTTGACGCAAAATTAAATGAAATTAATAAGATCAAAGACGAGCCACTTTGCGGTTTTTTTTCTCCCTTGACAAATTCCTCCAA